CTTTCGATCAAAAAGTCTATTAAACCTCGTCCGAATGACCTAAAATTTTGCATGCACGTCACAAATGACACAACGGACCTACTCCAACTTGAGAATTTTCATTCCGACCCTTAAATCAAAATCTCACCTATCAATCGCAAAACACCAAAATTCCAATTTCGCCAATTCAAGCCTAAACCTTCCACAGACCTCCAAAATATATTTCGATCATGCTCCTAAGTCCTAAATCACCTAACAAAGCTAAACAAATCATAAAAATTCCAATCTGAGATCATATACAAACAAGTCAAAACTTGGTCAACCCTTTCAAATTTTAAGCTTCAAACTGAGAACTGTTCTTCCAAATTCATTCCGATTATCCTGAAAACCAAAACCGCCAATTTACATAAGTTATGATACACCACACGGGGCTAGTCATGCCCGAGAACTGGAGAGCGAAGTGCAAAAGCTCAAAATGACCGGTCGAGTCGTTACATACTTGAAGCCACACGGTGAGATAAGGTGGGCTAAAACGCATGTAGCTATTTCGGGAAAAAATAATTTTCAAAACTAAATGTAAGGCTCATGTGATGATATAAGGAAAGATTGTGATTGAAATTGTGAAACATGAATACGAGGCGATACCTCGGTTGTATTTTCATTGTACATTCCATGCTGGAATATGTTACACCCCGTACTTTAATATTAGGCGAGACAAAAATGAGTCATTCAATTAGAATGAGTCACGGTTCATCAATATTTAAACCTATCAATTTTTTACTTGTTTTCTTCCTAAGTTTTATTATATGATGACAACAATAATAATGGGTTTCTTTTCGACTCTTCCAACAAATGTCACTGTAGTTTGCAACTCAAAAGCTCGGATATGCAATATGCAATATAAAATTTCCCAAGTAATGTTATACTCTAGCAGGGGTTAAATTCCCGAAATGATGAGAACATCACCTATGGCCCTTCTGTTTATTCATATACGTAAATCCCAGAATATATCATTTTCCTTAAATTTTACCTTGCTTCAGCTATTTTTTTAAAGAATTGACTCTAAAATTAAGTATCATCTTTATCCCTTTTTTATTTTTATAATTTTACGGCATTGCTTGTATTTTGTAACAACCTTGATACCGCTAGATATTATGTTAGTGTGGTATTTTCTTTTAAGTGAAGTATTTTAGTAAAAGTTTTATAAGTATAAATTTGGATAGTTAACATTTTAATATTTTCAGATATGGTAAATTATACACATAATATGAGAAAGTTTATGAGATTTTCTTTATTGTAAAGATAGAAATTATTTTCTTACAAGAAAAGAAGCTTATCTTTTTACCATTTTAAGAATTAAGCGTACAAATATTTGTACTCTTTATACGAGATTAGGAAAATTATAAGTTAAGAAAATATATGTATTTTTACATGAATATTTTAATTAAATAATAGTGTATGTATTAACTTTATATGGTACCACATGACCGTAATAGTATGGTGTAATAAGTGTATTAAAAATAAGTAGAATTTTAAATAATTTGAAATAATTCTTAATTATGCGGGTATATTGGTTAATTACCGTGTAACGGGACATTACCTAGTTAATTAATAAATTAGTAGATAATAATTAAAAAATTTCCCCAAAACCGTGGCGGCAAGGAAAACTAGCAAAACATGACTAAGGATCATGTTAGCTTAGGTGACTACCTAAGATGCCCTTCCCATTAACGTATAAGACACCACTCTTAATTCAAAGTCGGTCTTTCTATATAAAAATTGGTCTCATTTGAATATAGAATAGAAAAAGAGATCAAATACCTTTCCTATTAACATAAGAAATCCCTCCTAATCCAAGGTATTCAAGAACATCTATCAATTTATTCGACTTAAATCAGTTTCTTCAGTAGCTCGATTATGCCTATATTTTTCGGATTCTAGTTCTGATGAACAAAGTGGAAATACCCAAATGAAAAATAGTACCAATAATATTGTTGAGGTAAATTCTTATTGGGTCACTGAAATGCTCAACAGTTTAAAGGAAAAGCCTGAAAATGCTTTATTATTTTTGCGTCAATTAAAATAAAGTGGGTTTAAACATGATGTACAAACTTATATGGCTATGGTTCGGACATTTTTTTATTGGGGTATGGATATGAAACTGGATTCTTTGTTTTTGGAGGTTATAATTTGTGGGGAAAAAGGGATTTGGGGTTTGAGGTTTCTGATTTGTTTGAGGAACTAGTGGAGGGGTTAAATGCTGAGGGCCCTAATTCGTTGGTTCGGGATTTGGATGCATTGGTTAAGGCTTATGTGAGTTCAGTTATGTTAAGTGTATAGCTTCTTTTTTTTTGACATGATCCGAATAATACAAATGAAACGAGCAAAATACACAACTTTCATAAATGACTATATTCATAGAAATACTAAAGGTGTTTATATTCTTGATTCCCCATGTAGATTATTATTTTATCATCTGTTCATGGGTCTCGAAAAATGCATAAGTTGATGAATTTTACTTCATGATATTACTCAAAGGCATAATGGTCTTATTACATTCCAAGAGATTTTATTAACGTACTTCTCATGCATTGCATTAATTTATATGTACATTGACCCATGACCAGATGGCGTTATATATGCGTATATATGTATGTATATATATATGTATATGGGATATGAGAAAAGGTTATGGTGTTATATACGCACCCCCTGATCAGCTGGTATACGTTTATGATTTTGTCCACAGTGGTCGAGATGATATATTGGATGCCCTCAGAGGCTTGATGATGTTATGAACACATGTACCTATGCACGACATGACATTCATACGCATATGCATGACACTATAAGTATTTCATGATTTACAGAATTATCCAGACTAACAGATTGAGTCCTTTATTTTAAGTTTCTTCTATGTCCTTTATATACTAATTTACATGCCTTACATACTCAATACATTATTCGTAATGACGTCCTTTTGTTGAGGACGCTGCATTCATGCATGCAGGTATAGATAATCAGTTTTGACGAGCCCTCATAGTAGATGAAATTGGTATTCAGCGAAGGATCAACAAGACTCCACCTCATTCGGAGTGCAGCCGAGTCTGTGAGTCATCGTGTCAAAATTTTGCTACAGACTTATGGGTAGGTCAGTACCATGTCCTATTTTATGCCAAATAATCTTAGAGGCTTTGTAGACAGAGGTTCATTTTGTATAGTATATCAGAGGCCTTGACGGCCCATATGTATTCATGTTTTAAGAAAATGGTTAAGTGATACAATGTTATCCCACTTACAATTGTACATTACGAGTTGTGGTCATATTGCCCATGGTAGTTCCAAAAGGAATGAATGAGTTACAGAGTGGTTCGCTCGGGCCGGTGCGCCACCGGGTGCCAGCCATGCCTCCCAAGGTTGGGGCGTGACAAAGTGGTATCAGAGCGGATCGTGTCCTCGGGAGTCTACAAAGCCCCTAATAGAGTCTCATTTATGGATGTGTTGCGCGCCACATTTATAATTGAGAATCTATATGGCATTTAGGAAAAATTACTTTTCTTTTGTTTCTAGATCGTGCCATAAGGCTGAGTCATAAAAAGTCAGTATAAAGTTTCCACTGAATTTTGTATGCACCAGAAGTGTTATCATAATAGAGCTTTAAGGCGTTGATATAATTTCTACCTATGTAGAAGGAAGGTTATGAAAGAATAGAAGATACGATGCGAGATAGAGAAGTAAGTAAGGTAAAGGTGAAAAAGATACGAGATACTCGAGTACAAAAGGTAGTGAATAGTCAAGACATTAGATATAGTTTTGGGTTTAGTTTAATTTATAGAGAAGACCCTAGTGAAAATTTTGTAAATCTCTAAGAGTTAACATTCGAGGACGAATGTTTCTAAAGGGAGAAGGATGTTACACCCCGTACTTTAATATTAGGCGAGACAAAAATGAGTCACGGTTCATCAATATTTTGACCTATCAATTTTTTACTTGTTTTCTTCCTAAGTTTTATTATATGATGACAACAACAATAACGAATTTCTTTTCGACTCTTCGAACAAATGTCACTGTAGTTCGCAACTCAGAAGCTCGAATATGCAATATGCAATATTAAAATTCCCAAGTAATGCTATACACTAGCAGGGGTTAAATTGCCGAAATGATGAGAACATTACCTATGGCCCTTCTGTTTATTCATAGACATTAATCCCAGAATATATCATTTTCCTTAAATTTTACCTTGCTCCAGCTATACGACTGAAAGAATTGACTTTAAAATTAAGTATCACTTTTATCCCTTTTTCATTTTTATAATTTTACGGCATTGCTTGTATTTTGTAACAACCTTGATACCGCTAGATATTATGTTAGTGTGGTATTTTCTTTATGTGAAGTATTTTAGTAAAAAAATTATAAGTATAATTTTGGATAGTTAGCATTTTAATATTTTCAGATATGATAAATTTTCAGATATGATATGATAGTTAGCATTTTAATATTTTCAGATATGAGATTTTCTTTATTGTAAAGATAGAAGTTATTTTCTTACAAGAAAAGAAGGTTATCTTTTTACCATTTTAAGAATTAAGCGTACGAATATTTGTATTTTTTATACGAGATTAGGAAAATTATAAGTTAAGAAAATATATGTATTTTTACATGAATGTTTTAATTAAATAATAGTGTTTGTATTAACTTTATATTGTACCACATTACCGTAATAGTAGGGTGTATAAAGTGTATTAAAAATAAGTAGAATTTTAAGTAGTTTGAGACAATTCTTAATTATGCGGATAAATTAATTGATTAACGTGTAACAGGACATTACCTGGTTAATTAATAAATTAGTATATAATAATTAAAATTTCCCCCCAAAAACGTGGCGGCAAGGAAAGCTAGCAAAACATGACTAAGGATCATGTTATCTTAGGTGGCTACCTTAGATGCCTTTCCCATTAACGTATAAGACACCACTCTTAATTCAAAGTTGGTCTTTTTATATAAAAATTGGTCTCATTTGGATATAGAATAGAAAAAGAGATCAAATACCTTTCCTATTAACATAAGACATCCCTCCTAATCCAAGGCATTCAAGAACAACTATCAATTCATTCGACTTAAATCAGTTTCTTCAGCAGCTCAATTAAGCCCATATTTTTCGGATTCTAGTTCTGATGAACAAAGTGGAAATACCCAAATGAAAAATAGTACCAATAATATTGTTGAGGTAAATTCTTATTGGGTCACTGAAATACTCAACAGTTTAAAGGAAGAGCCTGAAAATGCTTTATTATTTTTTCATCAATTAAAAGAAAGTGGGTTTAAACATGATGTACAAACTTATATGGCTATGGTTCGGACATTTTGTTATTGGGGTATGGATATGAAACTGGATTCTTTGTTTTTGGAGGTTATAATTTGTGGGGAAAAAAGGATTTGGGGTTTGAGGTTTCTGATTTGTTTGAGGAACTAGTGGAGGGGTTAAATGCTGAGGGCCCTAGTTCGTTGGTTCGGGATTTGGATGCATTGGTTAAGGCTTATGTGAGTTCAGGTATGTTAAGTGTATTCCTTCTTTCTTTTGGCATGATCCGAATAATAAAAATGAAACAAGCAAAATACGCAACTTTCATAAATGACTCTATTCATAGAAATACTAAGGGTGTTTATATTCTTGATTCCCCATGTGGATTATTATTTTATCATCTGTTCATAGGTCTCGGAAAATGCATAAGTTGATGAATTTTACTTCATGATATTACTCAAAGGCATAATGGTCTTATGACATTCCAAGAGATTTAATTAACGTACTTCTCATGCATTGCATTCATTTACATGTACATTGACCCATGACCAGATGACGTTATATATGCATATATATGTATGTAAAAATATATATATATATATATATATATATATATATATATATATATATATATATATATATATNTAATAGGTTGAGTCCTTTATTTTAAGTTTCTTCCATGTCATTTATATACTAATTTACATGCCTTACATACTCAATACATTATTCGTACTGACGTCCTTTTGTTGAGGACGCTGCATTCATGCCTGCAGGTATAGATAATCAGTTTTGACGAGCCCTCATAATAGATGAAATTGGTATTCAGCGAAGGATCAAGAAGACTCCATCTCATTTGGAGTGCAGCTGAGTCATCATGTCAAAATTTTGCTACATACTTATGGGTAGGTCAGTACCATGTCCTATTTTATGCCAAATAATCTTAAAGGCTTTGTAGACAGAGGTTCATTTTGTATAGTATGTTAGAGGCCTTGACGGCCCATATGTATTCATGTTTTGAGAAAAATGGTTCAGTGATACAATGTTATCCCACTTACAATTGTACATTACAAGTTGTGGTCATATCGCCCATGGTAGTTCCAAAAGGAATGAATGAGTTACAGAGTGGTTCGCTCGGGCTCGTGCGACACTGGGTGCCAGCCACGCCTCCCAAGGTTGGGGCGTGACAAAGTAGTATCAGAGCGAGTCGTGTCCTCGGGAGTCTACAAAGCCCCTAGTAGAGTCTCACTTATAGATGTGTTGCACGCCACATTTATAATTGAGAATCTATATGGAATTTAGGAAATATTACTTTTTTTTTGTTTCTAGATCGTGCCATAAAGCTGAGTCATAAGAAGTCAGTATAAAGTTTTCACTGAATTTTGTATGCACCAGAGGTGCTATCATAATAGAGCTTTAAGGTATAGATATAATTTCTACCTATGTGGAAGGGAGGTTATGAAAGAAATAGAAGATACAATGCAAGATTGAGAAGTAAGTAAGGTAAAGGTGAAGAAGATATGAGATACTCGAGTACAAAAGGTTGTGAATAGTCAAGACATCAGATATAGTTTTGGTTTTAGTTTAATTTACAGAGAAGACCCTAGTGAAAATTTTGTAAATCTCTAAGAGTTAACATTCAAGGACGAATGTTTCTAAAGGGAGGAAGGATGTTACACCCCCTACTTTAATATTAGGCGAGAAAAAAATGAGTCACGGTTCATCAATATTTTGACTTATCAATTTATTACTTGTTTTCTCCCTAAGTTTTATTATATGATGACAACAACAATAATGGATTTCTTTTTGACTCTTCGAACAAATGTCACTGTAGTTTGCAACTCAGAAGCTCGAATATGCAATATGCAATATTAAATTTCCCAAGTAATGTTATACTCTAGCAGGAGTTAAATTGCCGAAATGATGAGAACATTACCTATGGCCCTTCTGTTTATTCATATACGTAAATCCTAGAATATATCATTTTCCTTTAATTGTACCTTGCTTTAGCTATATGACTGAAAGAATTGACTTTAAAATTAAGTATCACTTTTATCCCTTTTTTATTTTTATAATTTTATGGCATTGCTAGTATTTTGTAACAACCTTGATACCGCTAGATATTATGTTAGTGTGGTATTTTTTTTAAGTGAAGTATTTTAGTAAAAGTTTTATAAGTATAATTTTGGATAGTTAGCATTTAATATTTTCAGATATGATAAATTATACACATAATATGAGAAATTTATGAGATTTTCTTTATTGTAAAGATGGAATTATTTTCTCACAAGAAAAGAAGGTTATCTTTTTACCATTTTAAGAATTAAGCGTACGAATATTTGTACTCTTTATACGAGATTAGGAAAATTATAAGTTAAAAAAATATATGTATTTTTACATGAATGTTTTAATTAAATAATAGTGTATGTATTAACTTTATATGGTACCACATGACCGTAATACTAGGGTGTATAAAGTGTATTAAAAATAAGTAAAATTTTAAGTAGTTTAAGATAATTCTTAATTATGCGGGTAAATTAGTTAATTAACGTATAACTGGACATTACCTAGTTAATTAATAAATTAGTATATAATAATTAAAATTTCCCCCCAAAAACGTGGCGGCAAGGAAAGCTAGCAAAACATGACTAAGATCATGTTAGCTTAGGTGGCTACCTAAGATGCCCTTTCCACTAAAGTACAAGACACCACTCTTAATTCAAAGCTGGTCTTTTTATATAAAATTGATCTCATTTGGATATAGAATAGAAAAAGAGATCAAATACATTTCCTATTAACATAAGACATCCCTCCTAATCCAAGGCATTCAAGAACAACTATCAATTCATTCGACTTAAATCAGTTTCTTCAGCAGCTCAATTAAGCCCATATTTTTCGGATTCTAGTTCTGATGAACAAAGTGGAAATACCCAAATGAAAAATAGTACCAATAATATTGTTGATGTAAATTCGTATTGGGTCACTGAAATGCTCAACAGTTTAAAGGATTAGCCTGAAAATGCTTTATTATTTTTTCGTCAATTAAAAGAAAGTGGGTTTAAACATGATGTACAAACTTATATGGCTATGGTTCGGACATTTTGTTATTGGGATATGAAACTGGATTCTTTGATTTTGTAGGTTATAATTTGTGGGAAAAAAAGGATTTGGGGTTTGAGGTTTCTGATTTGTTTGAGGAACTAGTGGACGGGTTAAATGCTGAGGGCCCTAGTTCGGTTGTTCGGGCTTTGGATGCATTGATAAAGGCTTATGTGAGTTCAGGTATGATAAGGCTATCCCTTTTTTCTTTTGGCATGATCCAAATAATACAAATAAAACGAGCAAAATACGCAACTTTCAAAAATAACTCTATTCATAGAAATATTAAGGGTGTTTATATTCTTGATTCCCCATGTGGACTATTATTTTATCATCTGTTCATGGGTCTTAGAAAATATGTAAGTTGATGAATTTTACTTCATGATATTACTCAAAGGCATAATGGTCTTATGACATTCCAAGAAATTTTATTAACGTACTTCTCATGCATTGCATTCATTTACATGTACATTGACCCATGACCAGATGACGTTATATACGCGTATATATGTATGTATATATATGTATATGGGATATGAGAAAAGGTTATGGCGTTATATACGCACCCCACCTGATCAGCTGGTATACATTGATGATTTTGCCCACAGTGACCGAGATGATATATGGGATGCCCTCAGAGGCTTGATGATGTGTCACGATCCTAACCCCAGACCCGGTCTTGATGGCGCCTCTCGTGAAGATAAGGCCAACCGACACAAACCCCCAAATTAATTAACAGATATAATAATTCATAATCAAGTCCTTAATAATGATAAATCCCAAAATAGAGTGAAATATATCAACTGCGAAAAACAAACATTGTCCGACATCGGGGTGTCACCAGTCATGAGCATCTAAACATGTGTCTAAGAGTCTGAAAGAGTTTATACAGCCTATTACAGAACTAGAAACAGAAAGTAAGATAGGAGGGAGAAACACTGGGCTGCGAACGTCGAGCAGCTACCTAGTGGACTCCGAATAGCCTGCTGGAAGCAATCAAACCTCACTGGCGGGCCCCGAAGCTACTGAATCTGCACACAGGGTGCAGGGAGTAAAGTGAGTACTCCAACTCAGTGAGTAATAAAAATAAATGAAGACTGAGCGATAAGAAAACATGTAAAACACAACAAAATGCTACAAAGAGGCAGTGTAATACCAATACAACTCAATAAAACAGTGAAATCTTATAACTTAGTTCAGTATAATATTCTTTAAAACACCTTTTTAACAGTTAAATAAGTAAATGAAAAGCAGCGAGAAAAAATAAACACCTAAAATCAGCCCCTCGGGCACAATATCAACAGAATCAGCCCCTCGGGCAATAACATGAAACAACACCAGCCTCTCGGGCTATATCACATATCACACTGGGTACCCGCGCTCACTGGGTACCCGCGCTCACTGGGGATGTACAGACTCCGGAAGGGGCCCCTTACGACCCAAGCGCAATATCAAGCCATCTAGTGGCATAATCAATAGGCTCTTGGCCTTATATCAAGCCACCTTGTGGCGTATAACTCAGGCTCTCAGCCTCATAATCATAATAAGTACAACATTATCGCGGTGTGCAGCCCGATCCCATAATAATCCTCACAACACAGGCCCTCAGCCCTGCTCAGTCAGAAATCTCTAAAAGCCACTCGGGCACAGTAAAACATGATGCTCAGCCAAAAATATCATTTAAAGTGTTAACACAGAGAAAACATGGTTGAGTTATGAAAACAGTAAAATTTAGCATGACTGAGTACAGATATAAAATTAAAACAGTGAGGAAATAGCAGTAAAAATCCCCTAAGGGTCCAATCAGTTGGCACGAGGCCCAAATATGACATTCAGCCTAAAGCATGATGATAACAAATAGTTTTCAATGAAATACGCAGTAAAACAGTCATTCGGGACGGACTACGTCACAATCCCCAACAGTGCACGACCCCACGCTCGTCATCTAGCGAGTGTGTCACCTCAAAATAGCATAACAATGTGTAATCCGGGGTTTCATACCCTTAAGACAATATTTACAATCATTACTCTCCTCTATCCGGTCCAAACTCTAGCCCGCGATGTCCTTGCCTCTCGAATCGGCCTCCGGATGCTCCAAATCTAACCAAAATCAGTATATAAACATCAAAATGTGCTAAGAGAATAAAGCTCACTCGAAAGAAATCAAAATACAATGCAAATCCCGAAATTGACCAAACCTAACCCCCGGACCCATGTCTCGAAATTCGATAAAATTTATAACAATCAACTCCTTATCTCTCCACGAGTTCATACATATCAAAAGTACTAAAATCCGACCACAAATGACCACTTAAACCCTTGCTCAAAGGTCTCCAATCTCAAGCCCTAGTTTCCCAATTTTAACCCTTAAATTCCATAAATTTTGAAGCCAAATCAATGAAATAACACCATAGAAACGAGTTTAGGGTCCAAAAACCTTACCTCTATGAAATCCCCTAGAAATCCCTCTTCAAATAGCTCCCTCAAGCTCAAACCCGTATGAAAATGGTGAAGAATAACTCAAAAATCGTGACGGAAACCTTTTATACCTTCTGGCCCAGGCTTTTTGCATCTGCGACCCTTCCTCCGCTTCTGCGGTACTGTTTCTGCGGTCAAATGCACCGCATCTGCGATTCTCACTAAAGCGCCCATTTCCACATCCACGACCAAAAAGCCGCACCTGCGCCACCGTAGGTGCGATCGAGCAGCCGCTTCTGTGGTCCCAGCCCCACATGGCCAAATCTGCATCTGTGACCATGTGTGCGCTTCTGGGAGCCTGCACCTGCGGTCCCCTAGCCGTAGGTGCGGTTATGACAGCAAATGGGAAAACTTCAGCTGCCAAAACCAAACTCAATCCTTCTGTCAACCATCCGAAATCACCCTGAGGCCCCAGGGACCTCAACCAATAGCACAAACAAGTCATATACCACTATTCAAACTTATAGCAATTTTCAAAACACCTCAAACAACATCAAATCAACCAAAACACATCGGGTTCAAGCCTAAGGTTCCAAAAATCTTCCGAATTACGCTTTTGATCAAAAAGTCTATCAAACCACGTCCGAATAACCTGAAATTTTGCACACACATCCCAAATGACATAACGGACCTACTGCAACTCCCGGAATTCCATTCTGACCCCGATATCAAAATCTCACCTATCAACCGGAAAACGCCAAAATTCTAATTTCGCCAATTCCAACCTAAATCTACTACGGACCTCCAAAACACGTTCCGATCACACTCCTAAGTCCCAAATCAACTCCCGAAGCTATCCGAACCATCAGAACTCACATTCGAGCCCTTTATCACATAAGTCAATATCGGATTGACTTTTCCAACTTAAGCTTACTCAAAAAGATAAAGTGTCTCAAACCTTACCAAAACCGTTTTGGATTCGAACCGACTAACCCGATACCTCATAACACGAATAAACAAAGCATAAAGAAGCAGAAAAGGGAATAATGGAGCGGTAACTCATGAAATGACCGGCCGTGTCATTAAATCCTCCCCCTCTTAAACAAATGTTCGTCCTCGAACGGGTCAAGAAACATACCTGAAGCCTCAAATAGGTGAGGATACCTGCTCCGCATCCCCCGCTCGGTCTCCCAGGTAGCCTCCTCTAGGGCCGACCTCTCCACTGCACTTTCACTAAAGTTATATCCTTTGACCTCAACTTCCGAACCTAACGCTCCAAAATAGCCACTGGCTCCGCATCATAAACCAAATAACCATCTAAATGAACCGTTCTGACATCCAAAACATGAGACGGATCCCCAATATACTTCTGGAGCATAGAAACATGAAATACCAGATGCACACTCGACAAGCTGGGTGGCAAAGCAAGATCATAAGCCACCTTCCCAATCCTCCAAAGCACCTCAAAAGGCCCAATAAATCGAGGACTCAATTTACCCTTCTTCCCAAATCTCACAACACCCTTCATGGGTGAAACCTTAAACATAACCTTTTCACTAACCATGTAGAACACATCCCAAACCTTCCTATCAGCATAACTCTTTTGTCTTGACTGCGCGGTACGAAGCCTCTCCTGAATCACCTTCACCTTGTCTAAAGTATTCTGCACAAAATCCGTACCCAATAGTCTAGCCTCACCCGGCTCAAACCAACCAACTGGAGATCTACACCACCTCCCATACAAAGCCTGATATGGAGCCATCTGAATACTCGACTGATAACTGTTGTTATAAGAAAACTCTGCGAGCGGTAAAAACTAATCCCATGACCCTCCGAAATCAATGACACAAGCACGCAATGTCCTCTAATATCTAAATAGTGCGCTCGGACTGCCCGTTCGTCTGAGGGTGAAAAATTATGCTCAACTCAACCTGAGTACCCAACTCTTGCTACACAGTCCTCCAAAAATGTGAGGTAAACTGAGTGCCCTGTTTGAAATGATGGAAACTGGGACACCATGCAAACGAACAATCTCCCGGATATAGATCTCTGCCAACCGCTCTGAAGAATAGGTAGTACTCATAGGGATGAAGTGCGCGGACTTGGTCAACCGATCCACAATCATCCAAATAGCATCGAACTTCTTCAAAGTCCATGGGAGACCAACTACAAAGTCCATGGTGATCCACTCCCACTTCCATTCTGGAATATCCATCTGCTGAAGCAAGCCACCCGGTCTCTGATGCTCATATTTCACCTGCTGATAATTGAGACACCGAGCTACAAATCCCACAATGTCCTTCTTCATTCTCCTCCACCAATAATACTGTCTCAGATCCTGATACATCTTCGCAACACCCGAATAAATGGAATACTGCGAGCTATGGGCTCCTCCAGAATCAACTCCCAAAGCCCATCTATATTGGGCATACATATCCGGCCCTGCATCCTCAACACCCCATCATCACCAATAGTCACATCTCTGGCATCATCGTGCTGAACTCTGTCCTTAAGGACACGCAAATGAGGATCATCATTCTGGAACTCTCTGATGTGATCATATAAGGAAGACCGAGAAATCATACAAGCCAATACCCGACTGGGCTCCGAAATATCTAACCTCACGAACCGATTGGTCAAGGCCTGAATATCAACTGCAAGAGGTATCTCCCCAACTGGAATATATGCCAAACTCCCCATACTTACTGCCTTCTGGCTCAAAGCATCGGCCACCATATTGGCCTTCCCCGAATGGTACAAAATAGTAATATCATAATCCTTTAGCAACTCCAACCATCTTCGCTGCCTCAAATTGAGATCATTCTCCTTGAACAAGTGCT